ATATATATATATATATATATATTATATGTCGCTCGTAATGTGTTTCTTTACTGTAATTACGATTCGTTTCTTGCAGGCTGTGTGGCAAGAGATAAACTCTTTGAAGCCGGACATCGTCAGGCAGTCGGAGAGCAATCGGGGGACTACGGCTATCTATCGGCCCGACGAGAATATTCTTGTATCCGAGCCTACGGTGCTCAGACAGATCGAGGTGCCTTGCCGTGGTGAAAAGGAATACGTTACGGATAACGGTCTAGTAATTCCCAGCATCACTCTCAGTCTACATCGGCAGTTAATAGGTGCGGCAGATAGATTGGGAATAAGTTGGGAACGCAGGGTTCGTATATCATTCTGTTATTCGTACATTTTTTTTTTAATTAAAATGGAAAAGAGATTCTACAAATTCAAGCAATATAGAATATTATATATACATATATATATTATAGAATATAGAATATGATATATACATATATATATTATATAGAGTTTGAAATATAATGCATTCAAATAAATATAGATTAATGTAACATTTTGAAATTAAAATAAAAATCAAGCTCGTTTATCGTAAGAATAAGGAAAGGTTTAACGGTCAAGAAACGAGCAATAATAGATTTATAAAGAAGTAAATAAAATACCCTTTAATGTTAATAAAATCATAAAAACGTTTCGTACTTCACAGAGTCTTCAGTTTATAAAATAATTTAATCAAACTTAAATAAGAGAGATAATCAACAAATTAAAGTTATAAATAAAATACAGATTGTAAAAAAGTTAAGAAAACCAAACATCGTAAAAATTTTACAGAGTCAAAAGGTCATATTAAACTATATACATGTAAAATCTCGTTGAATTCCATAACATAAAACTAAATTGGTCTTGGATTTAAATGTACAAATTTATCGTTCGGTGGCGTGAAAAAGTTAGATTAAAGGATATTTTATTTATTTATTTATAAATCTATTGCTCGTTTCTTGGCCGTTAAACCTTTCCTTAATGTACCATTTATTTTGATTGCAAAATAATTAAAGTTTAAATGGGATTTGCTTTGATCACAGCTTATCGTCACATTTTTTCATAATCGTTTACATATACACGTATATCCAAAAACTTCCTTTTTTTTTAATTCTATTTTCAATTCTCTATTTAATATTTCTATCTTTCTTCGATAGCTGGAGCTGCTCGGCCGTGCCGGTGCTGAACTTACCCTACAGCTATTGGGTGGAAGTCATCGGTTGAATCCGAATAACGCGCATCAGTGGCCCACCGTGGTCGCGCTGTGCGGACCGCATCGTTCCGGCGCCGCGGGGATCAACTGCGCACGGCAGTTGTCCAGTCACGGCGTCAAGACAATCGTCTTCGTGGAGAACACGGAGGACGTGTTTCTCCTGCAGGAGCTGTCGCTGTACAGGCTGACGGAGAACAAGGTGGAGACCAAGGTGAAGAATCTGCCGTCGGTCGTGGACCTGATACTCGTGGCGCTCTGCGACGAGGATTCGCCGCGAATGATCACGCCGATAGCGAGGTGGGCGAACAGCAATCGGGCGCCCGCGCTAGCCATCGAACCGCCGGCGACGGGTACACCTGGCATACTCTGTAAATTCAGCCTGCTGGGCGCCCTACCGCTGTCGCACAGCGTCGACAACGGCAGATTGTACCTGTGCAATCTCGCGTTGCCGCACAAGGTGTACCTCGACGTCGGCGTCAAGTATAAATCGCCGTTCGGACCTAAATTCGTAATTCCTCTGCATTCCAATAACTCTTAGCAAATTTTTAAGGATCACGTCGGGTCCTTTTGAACAAGACACCCTCGTTTTATCCACGCGCGATGATTTGTAAATCTCGTATATACAGGGAGATATATTTTACTTCCGGGGCCCACTGAGCAACAAAGAGTTTCATGTATAGTTTGGCGTTTGATATAAACTTTTAGATGAACTTTTAGAGAGAGAGAGAGAGAGAGAGAGAGAGAGAGAAAGAAAGAACGCATGATGATACTTTTCATTATTAATTGCATGGTATCCGCAGATGAATGAAACAATACATACTATTTCCGATATTGTAACTTTCAAAGCTGTGTATTTTAAAATCCTTGATTATGCACTATATATAGATAAGAGGGAAAAAAATAGATATTTTGTCTGTGAAAACACGCCGTTTTAAGTAATATCAAACGTATAAGATAGAATCTCCAGTGCTCCCGCGAAATATAAATGACATACCCCTCTCCTAAGTAAAAGGGTACAATAGACTCCTTCTTTTACGGACTTAACTCCATGTGTCGCGATTTTTCATTGAAGCACATGAATATATCAAATATGTACTTGATACGATTGAATAAATGCTAACTGCTTCGCGCGCGTGTCACTACACTACACATGTATGACGTATCTATAGTTTGTATCAACAAAATTTATATTAACGAGTAAGAAAAAGTACGCAAAAAAGCTACACCGCGATAAATCTTTGTAATTAGAATTGTCCTCGTGAGTCGTGATTTTCCGATTGATAAAGTTGAGTGATGAGAATCTTGTAGGAATATTAGAGCCACCGTAAGGAAACACTTACTTGTTTGGCATTGAAAAGTTTACAACTGAAAAACTGACAGAAAATATATTAACATGGGTGGCTTGCACACGTGAGAGAGAGAGAGAGAGAGAGAGAAAGTGTTTGTATATTTTTAATAATTTGTAACGTACTATTTATGTGAACATAAAAAAAAATCTGCGCGAGGCGCGCAGTTACTTAGCATTTCATATTCGATCGATTTAGTTGATTGACAACAATTTTATACTTGTGCACATCTACATTTATTACTTCTCGTTCTTCGGTAAGCTGTGTAGTTGCTCATATACGTATACATATATATACCGAATATGTTATATTTCACTTTATGTTCATCCACTTATTCCGAGACAGCGATTATAATGAGCGAGATATAGGTGTATTGAAATTATTGTGAAACGCACATGCAAGATGTGTCTCCGGCATTGTATAAAGTATAACTAAAACTTGATTGTGTTCCTTTTTTTGTATACTGATTTCTTTAACATTTATAAGTATAGAATGTGTGTATGCGCTTTCGACGATCACGAATTTATGGAGTCATCGTGAATTTAGAAATATATGCGCAATATAACGAGTTTTTCTCGAACATTCGATATTATGTCAAGTCGATATTAAATAATACCCGCGATTCGTGTCCATTTCGTGGGCTGAATACTGTATGAAACACATTTCAACGTTTTAAATGATTTATTTGGAAGTATACATTTGTTATACAAGACACATTTGATAATAACGATTAAAATAAGTAATTATTGTAATATTATTGTGCTGTGTATTAATATTAATTATTAATATAGTAAATGTTAATAATTAATATTAATATGAGTTAACATTTAATGTACAATTGAGCCTTTAAATTAATAATACATTGGTCAAGATAATTATTTTAAAAATTTGATAATTGTATACGAGCGCAAAACAAATGTTTAATTTAATAATTTACAAATTATATTCAACTTTATTACTTCTGTCAACTATAAATACGAAAAAAATATAATACATATGTAATTTACATGAATATATAATTTCCTTGTCTCAGTGTCTCTTTCAATAATTTAGAAATAAAAAGAATGATAAAAGTTTCGACATAAAATTTTAAACAATATGGACAATGATGGACATGGCGCACATATACTGAATTGTTATGAGTGCTCATTTAATTAAGGTAATCGAATCAGTGATTGGACATGTACCTGTAGCGGAACACATACACAAAAACTTATTATTAAGTCACCTTAAATGTTTTTTTATAATATTATAATTTAATTTATTTGTAATCTTTAGATATTTTTACAATTAAAGTTTGATATTACAATAAAAAAAGCATTTGAGAGTAATAAATTTTGTATAAGTGTCCGGACATAGGTATGTACCTGGTTCCTAAACATCCAGTCACTAAGTACGTTTACCTTATGTCTGATAATAATTTATATAATAGTGTAATTATATATGTATGTGTATATATATGTATATATATATATATATATATATACATACATAATTACATATATATATGATTTTGTGCTAATGTCCTATACAAAGATGCATAGTCATTAAATTACCCTGTATTAGTAACATTAATTAAGTTATAAAACGCAAGATAGTGGAATTGTTCTGTGTAATGAAACAAATGAGTTCTCGACATGAGAAGGAACTAATAAAAAATAATAATATAGATATAAAATAGCTTCAATAATTTTTACTTATAACATCACTTGGGATATACATTCTGTAAACGCTTTACACAGTCTATGGAAATTTACGGCGCCGTCACGTGTTAAAAATACATAAATTAGTTACCGCTGTCCTACGAGGGAACTGCAATCGCGTAAGTAACGAAGTAGCGACGTAGTATGAAAGTTAACACTTGTTTGCCAGTTATTGTCAATTTTTGTAAATACAAAGATCAGCAAACCTTTGGCTCATTTATAAAAAATATCTTGCTACTGAACTCGTTGTGATGTCTGAAATTGAACTAGCGCATATATGTATTTTCTGTTTTCATCATTCATGATTAGAGTGAATTAATTGATCGGTGTAGAACATGAGGAATTGTGTATGTTCGATCTATATTATAATTAAAAACTATATTATCCATACACAATATATTTCAATCTCTGGAATTTTGGAACAATCTTTTTTTTTATATAAATTCTGTACGAATACATCTATTTCATATCTACAGGCTAATCATTTTAGATACGCTCCGAAAATGATTCTTTTAAAATATATATTAAGTAATTACGTACTCCTTTTTTGCGATATTTTATTATTTTAACTTGATACTTGTCTAACATTCTAGAACGTTTTTGTAGAATAGAATATTTATTTATTTAAGAGGGGTTTCACTTTTGCCGACCGTAAAATTAGCCCTTGTTTTATTAATTTTTTTAAGGAAATCTATTATATACAGTAAAACGCGGGTTTTTGCATAAACTTGTATATTATTTGAACAGCAAAAAATATATTTTTTATTTATATAAAAATGTATTTTAATGCCTCCAAGTGGCGATTAAATGTGGTATGTTTTTCGAGCTGGCGGAAGTAATTACGAAAAAACGAATTAAGATATCGACTTGATTCTTTCTTCCTCTTGATCGTAATACTTTAACGCATGACGTGAACTAAAATTATGATTTTACAACAAACATTCAATTTGTTATTAATAAAAATTTAAAGAATTTTGAGGGCAAAAAAATTTTTTCAAATGCTATCATTTTTACAAATTTCAAGCAATTGACATCATTTTAGTTCACGCCATGCGTTAAAGTATTAGGATCAAGAGGAAAAACACTTGGCATTAAATACATTTTCATACAAATAAAAAATATTTTTTTGCTGTTCAAATAATATATAAGTTTATGCAAAAACCCGTGTTTTACTGTATATAATAAATTTCCTTAAAAAATTTACGAATTCCTTAAAACGAGAGCTAATTTTACGGCCGGCAAAGGTGAAACCCCCCTTAAACTTGCCTAGAATGTATTCATAATAATTTGTGATCTTTATTCAATTGAAATTATAGGCACATGGAACTCTTCTCATTTCTTTTTTTGTGTTTTTGTTTGATTTACTAGCCATTGATTGAATAAAATATCGCACTACATAACTATAATACGGAAAATACGTAGACTAATATTCCATTTTTCATTTCTATAAATCTTTAACGATACTTCGCAATCATAGATACAATATTCTCAAATAATTAAGTAGAAATATATACAATTTTCATATATCTATTATTTTTTTTGTATTTTTAACTATACAGTATTGGGATACTGACTGTCCTATACTTATCTTATTTTTTGTAACACTCGTTTCCGGCTAAAATATGCTTCATAGCATTCGTGACTTAAATAAAAAGCAGATTCAAATCACTTAAATGTACTCAGCCTCAAGCATATCGTTGTAATTACTTGTAAATCTTAAAAACAAAAAAAAGTGCAAATATATGTGAATATAATTAAAGATACATCGAACGTATTAGAAATACCTAATATAGATATTAGACACAAATAATTCAATTTCTCTAATGTCTAAATTACACCGTAACTTAATTACACTAGTAGTGTAAAAATAGGATAAAAAAATCTTATTGAATCAATACAGATAATATAATTATGAAAATTTAATACATATATTTAAAACAGGCTGGACGGGCAGCGGACGATTACGTGAAAGATTGTAGTTATGTATATTAAGTATTATAAATTCAATGATATCAATAGAAACGTCACGACACACCTAATCTGAATGGCAGCAAATAATTTTTGTAGAAATGACAAATATATGAGCAACTATTCCTAAAATTAATCTTAATATCTTATGGATAAATAGTCTTTACATTATATTTTTATTTGCATGGAGATTATCCCAATTAAAAAAAAACAATCTTTTTTTCTTTGTCGACGCCTATTTTAGAATATATGTACGTGTACAGAATATAAGAACGATTACTGTCTCAACAACATTATAATAGTTTGATCTCATATGTTTGATCAATAATATAAGTTAGCAAAAGCCAGTTACCATATTTTTATCGGCCCTCAAATTGACTCAGTTTTGCTGAAGATGACGGACTTTGGGATATATATCTCTCGACTTTTTTTTTCGAGATAACAATTTTTGTGACTTTATATTCTTTCATCTAAAACGAGGATAATAGCAATGAGGTTTTTTTTTTCGAGAAAAACAATTTTCTCTTTTCTTAGATTTCGCACGTTATTAGATGTAGATATTTTATATATATATAAATATTATTATTAAATATTCCAATACAATCTATTAGGATTTGACAAAAAGACACGTAGTTCAGCAGTATCGTTTATCGATCGACACTATTTCTATTTAGTGCCTCTAAAGGCCATTATATTCAAACAATGACAACTATTAGGTCTGACGGAAATTGAACTGACATAACGACAAACATGGTAACACCATTAATGCTTGGCATTAATAGCGCGTTTGCCCTTCCACGCACAAGTAACCGCTCAATTTTATTATATTAATGTAACATATATATTTAAAATTTTTTTTTTGTTCGAGAAAGACCGTGTGATATCGTTCAATAATTAAAAAGGCATAGCTTGCATTCGCTAGGAGGAGGGGGGGGGGGGCAATATATATTGTCCTCGTTATCGCGTGTGTTATTGTTATCGCTGTTTTGATCTCGCGTCTAAAAAATTAATTGGACGCCGGATAAGAAAGATCGTGCGAGACACACGCGCGCGTGATGATCTAGGTGCCCTTCGACACTACTACTCTACCTCGGAATTTCTTTCGCCTCGTGAAATGCAGCAGTCAAAAAACGACCCTCGTCGTGACCACGCTGTATCTGACGCACCTGCGCAGAAAGCAAGTCCAGTTCCGTCTGTCGGTTCTGACAGTGTCCTCTTCCTAGGAGGCGGGCGTGGGGCTGGCGGGCGTGGGGACCGTCGTCGCATTGTTCGCCGACTGTTTCGCGCGCCTACGCTTGTTCAGCAGGGGATTGTTCGTGTGATCGAGCTGCTTCAGGCACGCCGTGTCGTAGTCGACGCGCATCGTCGCCAGCGAACGCGTCATCTCCTCTTGCACCTCGGGCCACATTTCTTCCCCCTCGCGCAGAACGCGTCCGGTGTGCAAGGGAGTGGCGGGTACTTCCATGTATTTCTGGTGAGAGAAACCAGAAATTTTTGGCTTTTGAAGAAAATTCTAACGTTAAAAGAGCGAAATCTAATATATGTGCACTTCACTTACGGCAATCCAGTTGTTACGCATCACAGCGTCGATCTGCAGCCTTTCCGCTGGATCTATGCACAGCATACCCTTGATAAGGTTCTTGGCTTCCTGGCTCACGTTCGCCCATTCCGGGCTGGGAAAGTCGTACTGCCCCAATCGGATCCTCTTTTTCATCCCGGGCGAGATCGCCAGTCCGTGGTTGCTGTAGAATGGTGGAAAGCCGCACAATCTAGAAATAATAATAGACAGTCACACATACATATATCATTTTTTAAATGTATAATTTTAATCAGGGATTGAAAGTAACTCGTTACTTGTAACGCCGTTACCATTACAGCTACTTTTTTTGGTAACGGATTGATAACGGCGTTATTCCATTTTTTAGTAACTGTAGTTACATTTTTTCGGTAACGAATTATGCAGTTACTTTAATCGTTCCGTTTTGCATTTATGACAAAATTGTATGTATATTCAATCTTCAGTCTTTAGCTAGTATTTACATAGTTTACTTTTATTTTAAGACTGTTGTAAATAATGTTTCAAAATATCTCTGTGATTAATTTATAACATCTTAAGAATGCAATAAGTCATGAAATCAATATCACAAAATTATTAAATTGACAAGTAATTTAATAAGACATTTACGTTATAAGCATCTTAAAGTACTCGTACTTTGAAAAATTTATTGTAAAAAATATCAGCTGAATTGTGTTTCAAGATTGAAAATTTAATTGGCGCGTAGTTTGTAGATATTTTTGGATATGTATATAAATTAATTTTGAAATATTAAGCACAAAACTGGAAGAGCTCTAGCTCTTATCGAAAAGGCTTTCCTTTTCCTAGTTGTATTTTTATATATCGGTCTAGTAGTCATTGTTGTACAACTTTTATTAATATTAAAACAAAAAATTGTATCTTAAATTATTTAGACTGATCTTGTTTGAATTGAAAAAATAATGGAAAATTAACGAATCGTTACTTTTTAAGCAACGGTAACGATATATAACAAGTTATTTTTAAAAATCAGTAACTATAGTAACGGTAACTAGTTACTTTTAAAAAGTAACTTTCAATTCCCTGATTTTAATTATAATTTCATTAACGGGACAACTAAAACTAACGAAGGATTGCACTCTTATAGCAGAAAACATCAATTATTATTATTAATATATAAAATAACTCTTGAAGATATATAAAAGAATACTCACAGTATGTACATAATTACTCCCAATGACCAAATATCACAGCTCTTGTCGTATTTTTCTGGTCCCAAAACTTCTGGGGCTAGAAACAAAATAAGATATAGTGGATTATTATTCATTTTAATCACAGCTACAAGCACAAGATAAAATGCTGACGCTTACCGACGTAGTAAGGTGTGTAACATGGCGTCTGTAATGTGTCTTTTAAATGTGTTTCTTTAGCAAATCCAAAGTCGGTGAGTTTCAGGATTCCGATGATATCTGGAAGTAAATGAATACCATATGAAACTTGTTATTCTATTCTCACTCTATTCTATTATTGGCATACTGTTATTAATGTAGGATTGCGAAAATAACAATAACAATGTATAATTCATTTGTGTAATTGCAACATTCGCGTACGTATGGTATTAATTTCTACGATGTATACATACAGGGTGTCCCGAAATTCGCGAATCCAAATATCGTAACAAGAAAATCTTCAAAAAATTAAGAAAAAAAGTTGGTAAATTTGTAAATTTTTATTTTAAGCAATATAGTTTTTGAGACATAAGGGTTTTTAGCCAATTATAGATTAGTACTCGCGTGAAGTGCGCGATCGCCGATCACTAACACTATCGATGCGTGTCATCGTTCACGGACATGTTTCCGTTTAATCGTAATCTAATATAATTATGGCTAAATTTAAACTCTTATATCTCAAAAATTACTGCTTAAATTTTAAAAATTTACAAATAACTTTTTTGCTTAATTTTTCAAAGACTTTTTTGCTATAATATTTTGATTCGCGAATTTCGGGACACCCTGTATAGATAAAAATTATCGTAGTCTCTTCACAGCTATATGACTTCAAGGTCTGCAGATAATACTGCAGATTAACTTATAAAATGTGTATTGATAATAATGTTTTCAAGTCTTCACGAAAAATCTTATAGAAAAACGTTATAGTCTTATAGAAAAAGCCTTATAGAAAAACAAACGACATGGTGCTATGAGGCACGTGTAAACGCGTTCCCTTACCAGGTTTGGAATATAAAAGATTCTCAGGCTTTAGATCCCGATGAGTGATGTTCATGTCGTGTAGATGCTTCACTGCGACGCAGATCTCATACATCACTTGCGCGGCTTCTACACAAAAAAGAACGCGTGCGATAAGTTTTACGTAAGTTTTTCTAAAAATAGAAGAAAATTGACAGACTCCGAAGGCTATACCTCTTTCGGTAAAAGCGCCGTCCTGCCTATCTTGTATCCTTTGAAACAGCTCTCCGCCTTCCATGCTGAAACAAATTAGAAGGTTGGTTTTGAAATCTAAAGAATCACGTTCACGATAAATGACGCCCCTCCCCGCCTCGTCGCATTAAGAGGTGTTACGTTTTCTCACATACCATTCCATGACCACCAGCAGACATTTGTTGCCGCTATATGAATTTTCATATACATCCTTGACTTGGACTATGTGTCTGCAATTTGACGCTCTCCAGTGAAGCTCGACCTCCCTCCGCGCTTTTGCACAGTCATGCAGAACCTGCAAATATAGCGTGTCAATTAGCTTAACATGCTCATTTAACAACAAACAAATCTCTCGCGTTAAAGCTTATACACAAAATAAAAACAGATTCAATTTTTTACTACTTAAATATTTATAAAATATTAAAATATTAAATATTAAATTTTCATTTAATATTTTATATAGCAATTTTTAATATATATATATTTTTAATAAATATATTTATTTTAATAAATATATATATATATATATTTACAATAAGTTGTTAATACTGTCGACATCTCGGACAATTTAAATTTTAAAATTCGCGGTCGGCGAATTTTATCGCCGTGATTTTGATAAATGACTTGTAGAATCGAAATTATCATTCGTATCAATTATCATTCTCACATCGCGCTTGACATTGCCCGTTTCCGTTACGTGCAGATCATCGTGCAACTATAGCAGTAGGTAAAGGCTTGACTCATAGTAGCTCGCGACGGTATTTATCGCAACAAAAGCGACGTCACCGTGAGGATTTCCGAGATAAAAACTTTTTCGTATCCTCCTCGCTGTGTGTTGCAAATCGTAGTAGAACATGCGCAGTATATATATCTTACATAACTAACGCAATGATTGATAAAAACCATCCAGCTATCGTATATAATTCGATAAACAATAATTAATGGTATCACAAGAAATAATTTAAAATTATGTAAAGGTTATGTGCATGCGATAAAAGAAAATCGATGCAAATGCCGACAATGGCGAATCTTATTGCCTAAAATCATGTTTTAAAATTCATTAATATAAGTATACCGTCTATCTTCAAATCTTCAATTAAAATAGTGAAATAATAAAATATATATAAATATAAATAGTAAAATAATGAAATAATAAAATCTATGCGAATTTAAGTGATAAGGTTTACCTTGCTATTCAGAGTCTTTTTAATGTTTTAAATTTTATGTTTATTTAATATTATATCGCTTCAAACTTGATCCCGAAGTTATCCAGAATTTGCAAAAAATATTTCATATTTAATCACATATAATTTAACGCACCTCGATATTTTAAGGGAGAAGCCTGGTTTAAAACACTGAAAAATTAAGCGACTTTTTTGGAATTTTTTTTAGGAAACTATTCAACCAATCCTTTTGAACTTTATAGGATAATTTCTTATACTATTGAACAAAAAAATATTTTTTTGCCAGAAAAAAGTATTTATTATCCAAGTAATAATAATATTTATTCGACGGTAATGATATTTGGCGGCGTGCAAGATAACTCAAAAACTATTCATCCGATTGCTTTGGGCCTTTGCACACATCTGCACAAATACTTCCCTAACAATTCGAACCACAGTTTATAATAATATTATTTAATTAAATAATTTTTATTGCATAACAAACACGAAAAATTTTTTGTCAAAATCGCTACCTTCTTTTCCCAAGTGTCGCGATTTTCACAATCTCGCATTATTTTCTTTAAAAATAGATTCAGTCAACTCTTCATAAACAATAATCTTTTTGAATTTTTTATTTCAGACAAATACAAGCGACGCTACATTGCACGCCGCCCGCCGACGCGCCAAATAAAAAGTTATTATTACTTGCATAATCAATACTTTTTTCTGGCAAAAAAATATTTTTTTGTTAGTTTAATAGTATAAGAAATTTCCCTGAAAGTTCAAAAGGATTGGTTGTATAATTTCCCTAAAAAAATTCCAAAAAAGTTACAAAATTTTGTATTATACAATGTTTGTATTATACCTTGTTAGGCGCGTTATTCTCAACGTTTACATTTAATTGTGCGAAAGCTCGTGTATCCGTTACGTGATATGTTTGTTCTTCTCTTCCATTATATAATGCGATACCTTTTCGCTCCTGTTTCGCTGATCCCGATGACCTTTGCCCGGGAACAAATAGGTACAAATCTCAGAAAATAATTTCTAATTTTTTTTTAAGAGAAACGATCTGTAAACTAATCAAGTCATCTGTAAAAAGTAAATTAAATATTACTTCCGCGTACGACCAAAGCGCGCGGTGTAAAAAAAAACTGACGAAGAAACGTCGGTTTTCCTCTATGCATGGAAGTGAATGACACGTAAGTTGCTGATGGCACAATACCTGTGGGTCAATCGCGGCGTTAATCGCATGTACGTTCTTGCCATTCAAAATTTATCAACACACGAGGTGTACCTACATAAGCGCCTTCCTCTTCAACGAATCTGCTCCGCGTATAATTGCACCCTTTTCAGGCGCGATCTTCTCGGACAATTATACGGGTTATCGAGCTGTAAGCATGGACGATTACCGCAAACGTCCATTGTGTTACGCGACGGGAAGCTAAAATAGCCGTGCCGTCGCTCGTAAACGCACACCGGAAAAGAAAACTTGCACACCGTCGCCGAGAGCGGCATCGGGCGATTCATCATCTCGCGATCTCTCGCCGATCCGAGATGCTTAATGTACCATTTAATTTATGCGACAGCATCACGGTAGGCGAGCCACGGGAGTAACGAGTACGTTTCGCAGGCGTGTTAGCGTATTGTTATATACACACACACACACACACACGTATTGTAATATTAAAAGAAATCGAAAGAATAGTTTTCTGTTTCAAGTTGAAGCATCCGCTGCAACGCGGGGGGGGGGGCGGGAGGGGGGGGGGAGGGACTGAAACCAGATTTATGCCACGTCATCGTATCAAAGCGCATTTCTCGAAGGAGTCAGATGCTTCTTCAACACAGCTCAAACGTGAAACGAGATTACGCGCGGTATCGTTGCGTCAAAGCTCTTGAAGGAGTCAACTTAAGTATTTTAAGTTGAAACATCCCCGATGCAAGATGAAATTAAGACGAAATTAATGGTGAAACGGAAAACGATGATCCGCGCACGCTTTTATATACCTCGGTCGATCCAAAGGTATTCGGAGTATGTCAGATGTGAGTCAGAGAACCGGTTTTCTGTTAGATTTGTACCTATTTGTTCCCGGGCAAAGGTCATCGGGATCAGCGATAACAGAAGCGAAAAGGTATCGCATTGTAATGGAAGAGAATAGCAAACATATCACGTAACGGATACACGAGCTTTCGCACAATTAAATGTAAACGTTGAGAATAACGCGCCTAACAAGGTATAATAAAACCATTGTATAATACAAAGTTTTATAATTAAAAAATTAGTAATTTCAAAATTTTGTACAATAAAATTGCATAATTTTTAACGGAAGTTTAGCATTAAAAATTATACGATTTTATTATATAACATTACAAATTTTTATTGCATTATAAATTTTTAATATAAATTTTATATTAAAAATTATAATAAAGTTACTGGTTGAAAGGCTATTTCAATATATGTGTCAAAATAAAATTTGACACTTTGACTGGCTATTTGTATAATTTTTTATTTATAAAACTTATATTAAAAATTCATAATGCAATACAAATTTGTAATTTTGTATAATACAATCGTAATTTTTAATACTAAACTTACGTTAAAAATTGATGTTTATTTTGTAATCTAATTCTGTGCATATTTTGCAAACAGTCGTACTTCTCGATTTTAGGACTCTCAGAACTCTGCAATGCTAAAATCAATTTGGCAGTCAAAGTGTTAAAAAATAGAAAATTCGTCGTAATCGATAGACAGATTTATTCACTGGATCGCCCCGCGAATTCGTGTTTCATAATAATCGCGCGGTCTTCAGTATACGTATAATTAGAATGGCAATATTTCTACGAAGTATATATCTATTTGTTTTGATGTTGGCGTTATATTCGTTTATACCGGCAAAAAGCGTGTCTGTATACATACTTGAATAATAAGGTACGTAACATGATGAATAGGTACGCGTCGTAAAATTAGATTGAGATTCATTGAAGCTACGAAAATGGCGAAGCTATACCCACGTGGATGGTGTAAACTGTAAGTATATACAGAAGTGAAACGAACCGACTTAAAGGGGGTTTCACCTTTACCGTAAAATTAGCCCTTGCTTCATGAATATTTAAATCTATTATATACAGTAAAATGCGGGTTTTTGCATAAGCTTACATATTATTTGAACAGCAAAAAAAATATTTTTTATTTATATAAAAATGTATTTTAATGTCTCCAAGTGGCGATTGAATGTGGCATGTTTTTCGAGCTGACGGAAGTAATTACGAAAAAACGAATTAAGATATCGACTTGATTCTTTTTTCCTCTTGATCCTAATACTTTACGCATGGCGTGATTTCAAATCATAATTTTACAACAACATTCAATTTGTTATTAATAAAAATTTTAAAAATTTATAGTGCAAAAAAATATTTTTTTTTCAAATGCTACCATTTTTACAAATTTCAGGCGATTGACATCATTTTAGTTCACGCCATGCGTTAAAGTATTAGGATCTAGAGGAAAAAAGAATCAAGTCGATATCTTAATTCGTTTTTTCATAATTACTTCCGTCAGCCCGAAAAACATGCCACATTCAATCGTCACTTGAAGGCATTAAATTACATTTCTATATAAATAAAAAGTATTTTTTTGCTGTTCAAATAATATATGAGTTTATGCAAAAAAAACCGCGTTTTACTGTATATAATACATTTCCTTAAAAAAAATTCATGAAGCAAGGGCTAATTTTACGGCCGGCAAAGGTAAAACTCCCCTTAAAACTCTCGCCTAAATAAAAGCCTTCGCGGATTTTCACGGAGGACATCCGTCTTCCGCGGTCTGCAAAGCTTTTTTCGCGCCGAGCTCGTCCTTCGCGCCGCGTGGGCGTGCGTAAGTAAGAAAAATACCGACGCAATCACGTGTCGGGGAGGCTAATACCTGACGCGCCGTAATAGAGCTGCGCTAATAGGATTAGCACCTCACGGCGTACCGCCGTGAGTCTACCTGCAGTCGCGCGAAATAGACGGATAGACGCGCGGGATTGTCACCACTGACGTTTCTTGGCGACAGATCAAATTGTATCCTACGCTCGTCGTACATACCTATACGTCTCCTCTGTGCACGCCAACGACTTTACACGCTTGGCTATAA